GCGTAAGGAACTATCACCAGCACGGGGGCGACAGGAAATCTGTGAGTGGTATTAAGAAGCGGATTGGTGGCTTTTTGAGGTTGTAACGTTTGCAGCCTGTTGTAAGAGGGGCTTTGAAGGCTTACACGAGCGTGATGACAACTAATTGAGTAGTGATAGGAAGCGGATTGGCTGCAACCCTGTTGGAAGGGAACCTTTGTAGGCTTACCGGTTGAATGCAAGTTGCCTACTTTGCTCGCTAGCCTATCCGGCCACACGTGATGCATAGTGTAATCGTGCCACTGCGAGCAATCTGGAGAATCGATAGGTGTGCGACTTACCTTAGGATGTGCGTGTGATTGTTAAAGCAGTGTGAGGTAATCGGAAACGATGCAATAATTCTTATAAAGGAGGTAAAGCTAGAACTTGGCAAATGGAATTTTTAAAAAGCTTTACAGCTACAAATTTCTCGTGCTGTGTTTTTTCAGTTGGCCGTACACTCCTGTGAATAGCGTAGATAGGTATTGCTTATGTAGTCGGCGCATTGTATACTAAGATCAAGTTCGCTGTGTAGGTAAGATCATCATTGGATCTGTAGCCATTGTTCCAGAGAGGAGGGTTCCTAGTGTGGCGGTGACACGACATTAGTGAGTGTTCGTTCGTCGCCACACATGTGGACCACTTCGGTAATCAGTTACCGCTACAAGACCCATGGTCCTGCCGTTATGTTAAGGTCGTAAGATGCATGTCAATCCTGCGTTTCAACATGATATTTACCCATCACTTCCAAGTGATTGATAAGCTTTAAAACTCAAGTGACCCTACGGCCCTGATATGAGGTGCCTACGAGCATTGCATACGCATAGTAAGCATAGAGTTTGGAGAAATTTTCCTCCTTCAACAACGTCTCGGGAATTACCTACTTCCCAATGACAAAATGTTTCCCAGTAGTTGCTAAGTCGCTAACAATCTGTGTCATGGCGTGCATACATGAATGCTTCTAAGACTAGCTGAAACAGTGATCCATAGCAGGCTTAGTGGGCGCGGTTGCCTTTGTAAATGATTGCAAACACATTGTAGGAACGCCCGTGGGTGAGACAACAGTGTTTATCTGTTCCAAGTACTCACCTGAAGTAGCAGAGTAACATGCCTGCGTCGCCACTAATCATAAGTCTTGCGTTCTTTCTAGCAGGACGATGTGGCATGTATAAACACCGTAGTCATTGTGGCCCCTTTAAGTGTTACTTTGTTGAGTAATGCCGATTCCTTGAGGAGAGCATGCCAGTCCATTGACGTAATAGGGAGGTTCCATCTGCATTGACTGTGCTTATAATGGTTCCATTTGGAGAGCCACTTGTTAAAGCGTCTCAACACGTATGGGCGATCATATGGAAGTGAGGTCTAATTATCCTAAGAATACATAGGTTCCTATGACCTTTACATAACGCGATACATGTAGGCACTGAAGTGGTAACTGACTAGCAAATTCTCCCATGGGTTAGGAGACAAACGAACACTCATTAACGTCGTGTCAACGCCACACTTGGAATCCTCTCACATTTTGTTGAGCCATCAACTGTGATAGAAGCAAGCAAACATAGAATTTCCGTTGTTCAGCTTCAGGTTGGTCTATTAACTTCAATGGGAACGATGTCCCCATGATCGTTGCAATAACAATCGCACAAAATTGTATAACTGCCTAGCAGCCATTACTGACGTGCGGAATACCAGTGAGGTTATTCTCTGTCTACGTCACCATGGGCGACCATATGGAAGTGAAACCTAATTATCCTAAGAATTCATAGGTTCCTATGACCTTTACATAACGCCATACATAGAGACACTGAAGCGACAACTGATTAACCTTTCGCCCATGGGTATGGAGACAAACGAACACTCACTGACGTCGTGTCAACGCCACAATTGCAATCCTATCATTTTTTGTTGAGTCATCAACTGTGATCGAATTAAGCAACCTTAGAATTGTCGTTGTTCAGCTTCAGGTTGGTCTACTAACTTCTGTGGGAACTATGTCCCCCAGGATCGTTGCAATGACATTCGCACACAATTGTCTAACCGCCTAGCAGCCAATGCTGCACTGTGGAATACCAGTTAGATGGTTGCCCGTCTACGCCACTATGGTTAGGCCGCTGAATAAGCCACCATTAGGTAGCCGCCAGTGATCGCCATAGACCGCTTCATGTGCTGGTTAGTATGTCTGTCCACACTGGTTAAGTCTTAAGCTTTGGATAATGTGGTAGCTAGCATCTCCTCCTTTGACACGCATCACAATTTGCCTATTGGTCGGTTTCAGGTTGGAGACCAATCATCGAGGTTTACTCGAGGGGCATCGAGGTTTACTCCAGAGGGGCATCAGGGCAGAACGGAAGGTGGTGCTCGACCACTTTCATTGGACTGTCTGTCTCTTATGCTGGCAACTTCTAACCGGTGTCCCATTGGTTTACGTGCCATAACCAATGAGAGTGTCAAGGACGCCAAATCGGCGTTCTCAGCCTCGCTAACTTGAAAGCACCGCACGCTATTTCGAAAATGAACCACGCTAAAAGCTTGGTACAATACGCTAATATGCGTGTAAAAAGGTATAGTGTGGTAAAGCTCAATCCGTTTAACTTCGGTGGGATGACCAAAACAGTTACACTTCCCTAATTCTTCTCGTGTTTCTTAGCCAAGTGGTGCGGCTACGTTAAATACATCCCTAAGTTTCTAAGACGGAATACATGAAGGGATAATACTCGCCGTCTATATATTTTGGGCGAACTTAAACATTAGAACATACGTCGCGAGATTTCAAACATACGATACCGTGGTACAGTAAAACCTCCAAAGTTGACAACCCCTGAATCCTGACCACCTCTCTTAGTTGACCGTTTTCCCATAGCTTGAAGGTTCATCACGAAAACCAGACTTCTGTATAGTGACCACCTCCGTGAGCTGTAGGCTAAGCACTTGCGCTATAACAGTCGTGATTAATGTAACTTCTATAACTTGACCTGGTGAAGGTTTACCGTGCAATGATCACCGAAAGATTCGTTTGTTTAAATAACAATAGTATTTTGGCTGGATTTTACCATTGTCGAAATTATCCTGACCCATAATCACTGTACTTCACGGCCTACCATGTTCTTTGTCTGTGTATGCGCGTGTGCATTATTGACCCGCCACTCAGAGTTTACGCGCTATAGTGATTACCTCTTACAGTATGCACCCAGTGAACTGCCAAAATATTCAAAACGCACTACCGAACGCAGCTCACGAAAAGGGGTTACAGCAAAAATGCAATGTGCTGATCTGCATGCTGCAAGATCTTTCTATCCTCAGCAGTAATTGACTTGGATGCAGTGCTTGGATAAGTTGCGCATGACACAAATTTCAACCAGACACAATACAGAGATGCCTCAAAAAAACTGGATACGTTCGAAGTCCCGAGCAGAATGCTATCGCTTTACTAGAGATTCCACCTTTAATGGCAGAATTCGAGGGGATAGATTTTTATTGAAACGGATAATGACTTTGCCAATTGCACTGAGCCAGACCCAGAGGCTATTTTCCAAGAGATACGAACTGCGGAACACCCATACGGAAACAAACGAGTAACACCGTACGAAAAAGTATTGATCGAGGACGGCGTAGCCATTATATATAATACAAATGAAAGCATTTGTTGTGAGAAACTGTCCAAGCAGGCGCAGTAGTGTAGTTTATGCTGGAAGCGCTTTTTCAGTAATGTTTATGATAAGAGAAACGGACAAAGATTGATTTTGCCCAAAAAATAATTTGCTTTCGTAAATACCCATTGCTATTGATTCGTGCTAATGCTGTATGATTTAAGTGTATCTAGTATTGTGCAAGAGTTCAGCTAATACATTTGGAACAGGATGTAAGGGAAAATAAAATTTGCACTGCACTACTCAAACAGGAAAACAAGATATGCTAAATTTTTTATAGGACCTACGTATGCTGACCAGTTTGGTTCAGTCCGTTGAGTGATCAGCTTAGGCCGGTTTTACTGTACAAGCTTGTAAAGTAAATTAGGACGTTGGAAAACGTCTACGAGTCCAGGGCCACAGAAACGGACGGCGTCGTATGGCCGACAAGAACCAAAAAGCTGGTAGTGGCTAGCTGAACGTCTGTTATCTGTTACTGAGTGACGTGTGCTGGTGGACTCCAAATGGGAGTAAATCGATGTTAAGTGCCTGAGCACTAGTACGACTTGACCTTGGTGACTGAGTATGCTCCGTGGGTTAAAATACAGGTAGTGCAAGTGTTTTTGAGATGAGAACTGATGATTGACCACACAAATGAGCAAACTGAGATGATACTCATCTGACAACTAGCTCCCGGGGGGAAAACCAAACTATAGGTATGAAGCTTGATGTGATCCAAAGGCTGCAATTTAAACGAGGATTAAAAAAAGATGGGCAGATACAATGGTCAATGGAGCCCAGATCGCATAAAGATGCAAATAGAGTATCTTTTCGCATTTACGCAGCGAGACACGAGAATTGCATATCTAAAGAAATTAGGTGTCACTGCATAACTAACCCAGACAGTAAACCGCGACAAAAATGCAGTAACGGGATCCCTCATTGTCAACAAGGGTGTAACGGTGCTCCAATCGCGAGAGCTTCGGAATATGATGATGAATAATCCGAATACATCATTTGTTTACTGCGCACGAAGGTGATGCAGATCGCTACCCAATTGATAAACAAATGAGGATTATGTCCGAAGTCAAGTATAGCACAAAGAGTGGATACGTTCTAAACAGAGCGTTCAGCATTAACCTGACCAGCGTGATATAAAAACGGATATGCAAATGGAAGGGAAATAATACAATCACTGCGGCTCCAAGTGAATGGCGCTGGAATATGCTTCAAAAGAAAACACGAGATAGACAATAAGATAAGGATCAAAGCAGCATGGTGAGTAAAGTATGATGTCAAGAGGAGTGATTATTCTAATGGGGACAGTGGGCATATAGGAAAAACTGGAGTGCTTACTTTGATGAGATAAATCACCACAAAATTCGATAAACCGATATACTCCACCGTCGGAACCGTAAACACAATGATGAAGAGGAACCCGGGGTCCGCAGCGCAAAGCCAAAATAAAGTTGCGAGCAATAAGACCTGGAACAAGAAGGTAGATAGTCTCATAGTCAGAACCAGAAACTGAACGCATAGTTAAAGGTTGTTTCCATAACTTTTAGAACTGTACATTACTAATCCCAGTTTTCCATATTGATTCCTCTCCCATTTAACCAGAAAGAAAATTTATTGACTAATTTTGCCAAACTGGTTAATTTCTAAAACGTCCCCATGTTTTCCCGCTGCTAGTTGCACCATATGTATTGCAAGTTTGCGTGACCATTTCCATGGTTTTTAACATGGTCCCACCAGGCGATCACATTTGTTTTGATGACTAAAGCAACGAGATCTAAGGTTGCTAAACGTGCTTCTGTGACGCAGTTCTGCTTACTTAAAATGGTCCTTGCGATAGCTTTGTCATCCTCAGCATTGCTCTGTGTGTGTGTGGTGCATAGCTAAAACACTAAGAAAACTGGACACTTCGTGCGACTCACCGAATTCTCAGCATGTGACTGATCGCATATCTCAATGATTCCAAGAGTGCCCCTCGCAAGTCAAAGAGCCAACGCACCACCAAGACGAAAAAGTTAAGAAATGACATTACAACTTCTGTGAGGCCTACTGAGACGTTTGATAACTGAACTGGATCCATAACACAACTTAAGCACACTTAAAGCACTTGAGTAGCCTGAAACACTAGGCTATCTTAGTACATGATGTAATTGATGTAAGTGCGAACAGTTGTGCACTTCTTTTGCAAGAAGTCTAGACTTCCGCGTTCGAATACATTTTGGCTCACATCTGAGAAACTCAAAAAGCTGAGTTGGACTAATGCTGTGATCTGCGTTGAGTGGTATTATCGGCCCATAAGTGCAGGGCTATCATCACACACAGGTGAACACTCCCCTCAAGTAATTTACAATCGGCTCAATAGCATTCCAATGAGACATCATTGATGTCCCTTTAGAGTCCATGCATTCATTGGTCTATGATATTAAACTTCGAGGATCAAGTGTGATATCAAGTGGCCATATCCATAAAAATGGTGGCGTATGTATGCAGGTAACTTCAAATGACAGGAGTCGAACTAAAACCACAAGTGTTCTGTTAACCCTCAAACTGAAATACCGCCAAAGCATTTACAGTAATTTGGGTAAGCCGGATAAATTGGTACTTAAAAGTAGTAACAGGTCACTCAAGAAACATAAGGCATAAAGATGGTTGACTCATGGAGTATGACAAATTGGTTATCGAAACGTTGGGGAACCGGTGCGATCAATCCTAAATCAGCCAATCGGATCCCGCTCTGTGTACTTATCTGTTATTCTATTGGTTAGTTTGGGATTGGTCACTCAACGAACAGTACGCACTTTCCTGAAGCGTTCGCGCACGCTGGATGCAATTCGATAGAGCTAAGGACCATTTTGATCTATGGAGAAATATGATTTCCTCAAGATTGTGAAAACGCTATGGATGCAACTGGTTGAGAAAAAGCAGACAACCAATTTTGTGGCTAACCGAAATGAGTACTTCGCGTTGTTAGAAAGGTTTGTTTGCTAAAGTGCATGACGCTTGCGAGGTCACATGTACCCGACAACTGAGTGCGCGTTTCCCGCAAGTCACGTGAATGTGACCTGAGATAAAACAGCGGACGACAGGCAGGCATCAGACTTTGTTGACACGGCTGCAATGCTAGTTCAAAATGGCGTGGGAATTGGCGTGTGCACCATCGATAAATCAGGCTGCCTGTTGGTCGACTTGACTTGAAAATAGAATTCCATGCGTTTGCTGTATTCTTCCTTGGCAGATTGGTAGGCTCCTCTGTCACTTAGACGACACGTCACTTGGTAGATCTGCTGTTGATATGATTAGACTGATACGAGTGTGTGCTAACGCAATGAGGATGGCAAGACAGAAGCCAGCCCGTTACTGCTACGACAGGGGCCGTCGAATCACAGTTGTACGTTATTCTGAGGCCGTTGAACGAATACAAAAGCATAAAAAATTAAGCGTTGCGGGCATTAGAAGACATCACGTTGACTTTTGTTAAAGGAAAGCACTTCACTAAAATAAACCCATCCTCCTTGTTCTGTTATGTGACCCCAAATGAAGGTCCGAGCTTCCTAACGAAGGCAGCAAAAATGTTCGAGCAATCACTCTGACCACCCCAAATGTTTGGCTCAAATGCTTCGCCAGAAACATTGGAGGTAAACAGTTGACGATCTCCATAGTGTTAGGCGCAAGCGAAAGATCAATATCCACCGCTTTCTGTTTTTGAAAAGATGTGAGTTCTCATTGTTTTATCCTAACTATTAAATGAACCAAATTGTTCCATAAGCAATCAAGTTTATACAAGATGCCACAAGAAATATCTAGAGACCGATGTGAAGGTAAATATTCCATCGAACTCTGTGGTGAACCAGTTGAAACGGTTCTTACTGAGCTTTACCGATGGTATGACGCCCACGTGGAGGTTCACACCAAATTTGGTATAGAAGGATTTGGAAAGCGGGTACGGAACAACAGTCACGATCACTAGGAATTTCACCAGTGATGTGCGAGCACCCGGGTGTTAAATTCAAGTGCGGCGTATGGAGGTACAGTGTGACAGCAGACGGAGCAGTAAAGGTAGTCCCTGGGCAAGGTGAAAACCACCTGGACTTCCGCAGCCAAGCGTTCACATTAGCTTAGGGGTTCCCAACCTTTTTGAGGCTGTTACCCCCAAAGCGGGTTAACTTTAAGCAGTTACCCCCAAACTTTCTAAAGCCAATTTAGCTAACAATTATTATATTTTTTTCTTTAAATTACGGCAAATGAATACCGCATGTAATTACTTTCAAACATGCAAATAAACGTGACCCCCATTGTAGTGCGAAGAAAATCCATGGGTTTTTTTCATTAAGTACCGCGTTCAAAGTATTCTTGCCGATGTCCTGAACGCAACTTTGATGGTGGTGTTAGAAAGCGATATCACACTTATCCTTAACGCATGTTGCTGTACACCGGCGATTCTTAACATTTTTGAGGCTCTCACAAATTGGGTTTGCTATAGTCAACCCGCCCCCCCCCCAATTTCAGTTTCAAACGCTAACTAACGAATAACCATCGCACTGTTTGCTTCTAAGCACGGGAACTGATGGCTATTTGGAATAACTCTCGACCAATAAAAGAAAGAAAACAGTTGTTTGGTACAACATTGTAAGTAATCAAGAGGTGATATACATCAATGGGACGGTTGATATTGCTTAGTGCTAACAATTTCTGGTATATTTGGTTCAGTTACTGTTAATGCACATCAGAAGTCGTGCTCCAGGTTCATTCGACTCCTTGCTTTTGTTTTCATTGAAACCATTGTCGAAAATCCACTTTCACATCCATAAGTTGTTGCAAATGGGATCAATATTCTCAATGCTCTTTCCGATAGCAATGGATACTCACCACTTATCTTTATCCAAAATGCCACCAGTGGTGTATTTTGGAAATCTATTTTTAATTCGTTATCTACGCGCATTCCTAGGAATTGTGCTATGGCTTCGATGGCAGTATCCGGAAAGATTTCCTCATGCACTGAAAACGGTCTTAGCACCCAGGCATTTACTTGGCGAATTTCCAAATCTGGAAAATATTTGCTGATGGAATGGACCACTGATGACAAGTGGCAAGTTATATCCTGTGAAAGTGCATGTTTCATTTCTTCCAGCGATCACCATTGATAGTTCTAGAAACATCGACACATCATCAACTGTTGCTCTGCGTTGGTGAAGCTGCATTTTACGAAGAAAACTGGCAACCTTATCTTGAGCAGTTAAAATATAACCCATATCTCCTAGCAAGCTGAGGTTCAGTGCATTTATTTCTCCGAAGAAATCTGCAAGATATGGTAGTTTGGAAATAAATACGTTGTCTGTTATCATGACGTGTAACCCGTTCACCTTACCCTTATGCAGCTCCTTCCTTTCAAGCAACATGCAATTTCTTCTCGAAGCTCGAGCACTCGGTGCAACACCCTGCCTCGTGATAACCAACGCACTTCCGTGTGCAATAACATCACGTCGAATTTGCCTCCAAATTCATTGCAAAACTGTTTGAAAACTCTTGTATATGTCGCACTACCGCGGATGACATTTTTTATTTTCACTACGTTGGTTAACGTGTCCATCAAAAAAGGCGGAAGAGTTTTTACTGCTAAAGCATAACGATGTATTATGCAGTGGCTGAAGGTACAGTGCAGAGCAAATTTTTTGACTAACGTTTGGAATCCAGAAAGGACGTCCAACATGGATGGTGTTCCGTCTGTACAGATACCCACCAACCTCGACCACTGTAGATCCTAGATAAAATCCTTCACTGTTCGAAAGACATCTTCGCTACGTGGTTGTGCTCAATGATTCTGAGAACAAGTACTCTTCTTTGAAGTGGTCGCCTTTTATGTACCGAACATAGACCCGCAGCTGGGAACAGGATGCAACGTCGGTCGACTCATCTAACTGTATTGCGAAGAAAGGACTTGACTATATTTTTTGAGCATCTTATTCAAAATATTCTTGCTCATATCCTCGATACGACTTTTGATTGTTATTAGAAAGCGATATCATACTATCTTCTCTGCATGTTGCTCTCCAAGAGCGAGCTTCACGGCATCGATTATGCAAGGTTTTATGAGATCCTATCCTATAGTATGCGGTTTCTTGTTTTTGGCGATTAGGAGAGCAATGCGGTACGATGTTTCAAGATCAGTTTCGGTTGACTGAAAAAAGGAGCTCGATGTATCCAGACGCGAACTTTTGAGCGCAGCTTCTTTCCGATTGAAGAAGGTAATATCTTTTCCTACAAACTGAGAATGACTTCGGTTGAAGTGGTCTTTCAATTTGCTGGGTTTCATGCTCTCCCCCGTGAGCACTTTGCTGCACATTGCGGCTTCTCAACATTTTTATTGACAAAATTGGTGAAGCCCCATTGCAGAAAGGCTTCCTTGTAGGACCGCTTTTTTCCAGAAGACATGGTTCCTGCAAAAATGTTATGCAACTAAGCAGTATATATATATATATATATATGAATATTTTCGTGATTTAATGTAGGTGACATTAGCGTAAACGTTTGCAGATAAACTCATTATAGTCGATATCAAAACCATTGAGTTAAATCACTCATCTGCTATGGTTTCTTGTCAAAAACAACTGCAGATGTATGTGATCAACCCAACACCCAATGGTCACTGGCGTCTAATCCGCTGATTCTGTCTTTTTTATGACCCAAAACGCGGTGTTCTGCGCACTTCCAAACGCCTGCTGTTATCTCCATTCAAGGCATCATATGACCCATTCTGTGTGATTCATGATCAAACATGAACAGATATCAGTGCCTTCTCACGTGTTGCATTCATCCATTCCCAGTCATTCCTGCATGATAACTTGACACCACCACTCTAAATCGATTCGTGGTGAACACTAATCGCCCGTTTTGACCCTTCTAACCTGGAAACAATCGCGCGTCGCCTTGCCTGGTCGTCTAACCAAGACTCAACTAGTTTGCAATCGACTCCATAATTCGACCCGGCAAACGACTACCTGACGATAACTACGAGAGCTGATAGAGGCGTCATCTGGTTGCAGTGACTAATGACTGGTCACTGATGGCTGATCCAAAGTGCATAGGTAGTTAGCGACATGTTTTGATACGGATGATTTTGTTATTAAACTTGTTTAGCGACCGATTGATGACCCAATCCTCGTACTAATATTTACCCCCCGCAAAATGCCATTTTACCCCTTTGGGGGTAATTACCCCCAGGTTGGGAACCCCTACATTAGATGATATGGTTGGGCGCAAATTGCAAGGACGTTCATGTTACTTTAGGAGACGGAGATATATAACTAGTACATTTTTGATGCAAACTTGGGACATAGACCTAAAGCCACTTTTGCTTAAGACCCACAAAGCGCCACACAATACTTCGACCTCCTTAGCGTGTGTACACACCTGGTAAACCGAGGTTTTTCGTGGATGCGATGTTCACAGTTTGCCTATCCGCCCCGTAGTATCGGGTGGAAGCCATCCAGGCTGCAAAACCTATGTAACAGAAGAATGCGCGATAAGAAAGAGTGACATGCCGCAGTAGACACTAAGTGCACGGTATTGCGAGAAATGCGATTGGAAGCGCTCGTATCGTAAATTTTCGGGTAGCTCCCCGGATCTGCCGAACTTGGATCAACAGGTCAATGAGGCTTCATGCGCGCCAGACGGTTCCTACCGCGGCCTGCGTGTAGCCTAACAAACGTTTGTAGTTTAATGAACAAACTTGACGATCTACATCACTACGTTGCCTGCAGTCGTGCGGACATGCGAAACACATGATGACTTATCTGTTGTATCCGGAAGTCCAACACAAATAGTGCATCCGCCCCTCGATAACTACGTTTGCTTAGATCTAATCAGATTGTGTCACAGTCCAGCCAATCATCGGTGTATCATCTACCAATGAAGCATATAACCTAAATCTGATCATACACTTAGTTGACTTATGATCTCGATGTATCAATACTACCGGTCCTATCCACACTCGGATATTCCATCCACCTAATGAGAGTAATTCAGGTCATAACAGTTGGCGGCGGTAGGACAAATCGGACTTCGCAGCCTTTCCCTTAGTCAATTCAGTGCACGTTAAAGAAGCGAATACATGTTGCGACACACTGATAACAGACAAACATTTCACATAATAACGCGATGATAATCAATGTATCTCATGAATGATTCACAAGCGTCCAATGTCATTGCTCTCTGGGAAAACCCTGTAAGAATATCGAATACGCAAGTGGAAACTGGTCCTGGCATCCCCTTGTGATGTATTGTTATTGCGACGATACAAAAAGTTCAATCAACACAAATATCAGTGCAGAGCTTCCGTCGACGGCTATTCGTTTAATCATTCCTCAACAGCGGTGATAAACACACATCCCAGTTGGTAAGGCTGTACCATAGAAGCACACTTTGAATCCTACGACTAACTCAACATAAAGTCCCCGTGGTGATTTGACAATTTTACGTTTCAACACAGCTAAACAGATCCCGTTGGTTAAAGTATATATGGTGACTATGGCCTCATCGATTATTCCGTCGCCGAGTTACCGTACCGGCAAGCTAAACGCAGGATATAACATAACTACACCAGTCTCTTCGACAAGGTTACCGTAGTAAGTTGAATTAAACCGGTGTCATGTATTCATGTGTAACTTTAAGTGGTAATTGACCGCAGTAGCAACTAAGTCAGATAATCCTCCACACGCCCAGAAAACAATTAGACGGCCATTTTGTCCTAGTGGGACTCGTCAGCGATGCACATCCCGTAGCTCCATCAAGAATAGAACCCATTGTCATTAGAACCATGAACCACTAGACAACAGCCTACGCCGATGGGCCACGGTGAACAGCTGTGGACGGCTATGACTTAAAAGCTAACTGCGCAATTATCAGACAGCCACACTACTGATAATACTTTGTCCATATTCTTGACTGTATGTGTACCGGAATAAACATAGTTTCGGATCATTGTTGACCGCACCAGTAACAAGGAATGAAATGAACGCTTTTATCGGTTTAGCGCGCTTCTTTGTGCCTCTTAGTGCAGTATTTGTAGAATTCTGGAGAATCAAGGAGCGACATCTACCAAAAATAATCAAATTAAATCCACTTGGTTCCAGATCATTTGAAATTTTAAATGGGACCAGCTTATACACTGCGTAATCGTACTCTGAAATGACCTTTGTTCTCGAGGCCCAACTTCGTATTTGCCTGGCATTGAGTAAAAAAAGACAACATAGGATGGACGCTAGAAAACAGTGTGCTGAATAGTCAATCTAAGCTGAAACTAGGAAGTAATATCCTGAGAAACTTGTACCTTTAAAAATATCCCAGTCGAGATCTGATCCGTGGAAAGCACTGTAAATTACTTCTTTAGTGCTTGCACTGGGTTCTGCCAAATCTTGAATACGATTTCCAATAATTTCGCTCTAAAATGATGAAGTCATGAAAAAGTGAACAGCCAGAAACCAGGGATAACCATAACGCATAGATGATCCGATCTCAGTAAATGGGTCTTTTCAACTGGGCAAGCTTAGTACGGAAAGAACAGGATGACGTGACACCATAGCACTTGAAAAGTGCAGTAAGAAGACGAAGACGAGCAAATTCAAGCATTTCGCATCGTCTCATCAGCGCCTTTCATAATAACTCGAAATAATGTTTATTCAGTGAAGGATACAACCAAACATGTTTAACGGCATCTGGTTTCGGATTTGCCTGTCACTGTGGCCAGCCACAGCACGTCTGCGCCTACAGAGGGACCATGGGTGACTTGCGCTGTACCGCCCACAGTTCCATTCACACACCCCATATCCAGTGTAAACCCGAAGGAATAAGACCGGGAGGCATGTAGATGGGAGCCACGTTTCATCAACGGAGCCTGCCCACAATGCTTCACAGGCAAACACAAGCGCGCTGTAGTTGGGAATCAAGTGCACACAAGGCGGCCCGCTCCACACTGAGTGCATGGAACCAATCTTCGAGCCTAACACGATCACAAGGAAAGTGCACCCCATCCTCTTCAGCAACGACCAACTGTTTCCTGGAGCCAGTGTGGAAGAAGTAGTGGGTAATAGACAGGCACGCACCTTGCCAACATGCCCATCAAGCGCAGCCACACCGGGGATACATAACAACAGCCAAACAGTTGAAACGAAAAGACGAAATAAAATAAATCGGTTAAGGCATACAGATACGGCGGCATAACACTTCAGTAAATAGGCGTTTAAATAATTTGGTTACGAAAGAATGTGCGATAAGTTCAATAAGTCAGAAAATATATCCTAAGGAAATGCCACAAACGCGGAAAAGTTGTCGAAATTAACTACAATTGGCTTGAGCGACGTGTGCAAGTTTATAGAAGACAGCAAAGGTAGGCATTATGATGAGAAAGAAAAGCAGCGTGACAAAACTGTAAACTCACTACCTGAAATAATGAGACCCAGAATGCAAGCACGCGGTTAGTAAACCGAATGCAGCGTACCTACACACGCCGCGCCGGTTCTGCCTACGTTCTCTGCTGGACCCGACGTTGCTTCGCTGGTCATCCCGAGTGGCCTCGATCGTAGCTCACTAGGCCTGCCTGACTAAGACACCCGCGACCGCATGTGATACAGCACCATGTACTCCATGTCGATGGAGTAGAACCCATCGGCGCCTGTCGTTTCCGTAATTAGCGCTTCGTCTCTGCAAGCATGAGGGCTTCCTCCCGCACCTCGGCAAATGCCTTCGTGATCAGACCGCGCCATGCACGCCGATCGACTGCTTTCGATTCCCATGATCTGCAATCAAGATTAGAACATGAGAGGCTCACTTTGATCATGTCCTGGTAACGTAACTTCGGTTTCCCCAAATGGCGCTTCCCAATACTCAGCTGACCATATACCAGCTGCTTCGGTATCCGCGTCGAATCCATACGGCTCACATGAGCGATCCACCTCAGGTGCCTCATCAAAAGAATGTAGTCCACTGCATGCATCCCACTTCGAAGCAACACATCCGTGTCCGCAACTCTGTCTCCCCATCCGATGCGCAGAATCCGTCGCAAACACTGCTGATGGAACCGCTCGAGATATCGCACATCCCGACGGTACATCGTCCACGTTTCACTGCAGTATAGAAGAACGGACAGTACCATGGATTTGTACACCATCAGCTTCGTGCCAATGCTAAGCTGATGGTAGTTCCACACTCGGTACTCAAGCTTCCCGAGTGCCGCCGATGCCTTCGACACGCGAACACGCAGCTCACTGTGTAGCTGCTGATCACTCGACATCACACTCCCAAGGTAGCAGAAGCGAGAGGTGGTTTCTAATACTTCAGCACCAATGCTGATTCTCGGTAACATTGAAGATTGCACCTCCAGTGAAGGCTGAAAGAGGCAGACAGTTCTGCTTGTGTTAATGGTGAGCCAGAATATTGCCGCTGTCGAAGCCAGAGCACTAGTCATGTGCCGCAACTCATCAGCGCTGTGTGAAAACAACGCACAGTCGTCAGCAAACAGCAACATACGCATAGTTGTCTCACAGACTAGAGTTCTCGCACCGAAACGACGGATGTTCAGCAACCCACCATCAATACGATGCTCCACACGAACACCGTAAGCATAAGCGGAATCAAAAGCACAAGACATCATTGCATGAAGATATATATTAAACAAGGCAGGAGTTAAGACACATCCTTGCTTCACACCAGAGACAACTGCAAAGTCATCCGAGGTCTCTCCACTCAGCTGCACCCTCGCTCGCATACCACTGTGCAGACATTCAATTAAACTTACAAACATACGCGGGCAATCAAACTTACCCAAAACCAGCCACAATACCTAGCGGTTCACCGTATCAAATACCTTGGTGAAATCAACGAAAATCGAGTACAATGACTGGTGTCGTTCTCTGCACTTCTCCTGCAACTGACGAGCCGCAAACACCATATCTATAGTGTGCTGCGACCCGAACGGAATCCACACTGCTCTTCCGCCACCTTAGGTTCCACAACCTGACTGACGAGACGGTTGAGCAGAATTAGCGCAATCACCTTGTCCATACAACTCAGGAAGTTGATGCCACGATAATTCGTGCAACATTGCTTGCTCCCTTTGCACTTGTACAGTGGTAGCACAAGGGTATCCTTCAGCTCAGCACGCACCTCCTCCTCAATCCATACACGTTGCACCCATTGGTGCAGCGCAGTCACCAACGTGGGTCCGCCGTGTTTCAATACTTCAGGCGGGATCCCGTCGGCACCGGCACATTGGTCGTTTCGCAGCTGAGCAAAGTGCTCTTTGCGTCACATCCAGTGTCCGCCAGACTCGTCTTCACATCGTGCTGCTTCAGGCAGTCCAATGTAAGCCAGTCGATCTATGAATGGTTGTTCAAGAGACAGTCAAAGTGCTTTCGCCAGATCTGCATTATGTCTACAGTCTGTGAGCAGGTAGCGCCTGAACTACCATCGATCAGCGTCCTCAGCGGCTCCAATCTCGGTCCATACCCCGCCTTCAAGGAGTCAAGGAATTCCTTGTGTTGGCGGTGTTCGGCGTAGCATTCCATCTGCTTCGCCTTCTCCGTCCACCATGCATTTTCAATGCAACGGAGCTCGAAAGACAGTCGACGTCCATTTCTGCGAAACTGACTCTTCTTCCCCATGTCACTGGGGTCTGCCACATGTGCAGCAAATGCTGCATTCTTCTCACACACCAATGAGCCTATCGTCGCATTGTTCTCATCAAACCAATCAGGCCGCTTAAAGTCTGCACAAGCAATGGACTCCTCGGCAGCAGCTCTCACCTGGTCGCGAATGTGATGCCACAGGTCGCCCAATGTGGCTATGCAGTCCACATCACACAAGCGTGCAGCCATCGTCTTCTCCAGCTCAGTACGTTTCGCCACAGTACCGAGGGAGAAAATGTTAAATTTACGCCGATTCACGGCGGGAGTGCAATACATAGACTTAAGAAAATATATGTACAGTTTGGTCCGCACCAGTTTGTGATCGGTGCCACACTCAGCTCCACGCAGTACACGTGTCATGCTCACTTCACGCGTATCACGCTGACGTACGATGACATATTCGATCAGGTGAGCGTGACCACTCCGTGGGTGCGTTCAACTTGCTATATCACTCGCACTCTGTGCAAACCGAGTGTTCGTGATCGTCAGACCGTGAGTGGCACACAGTGAGAGCAACCTGTCACCGTTCGCATTCGCCGAACCAAGGCCATCCGGACCGACGACATCTGTCCATACCGATGAATCACAGCCAACGCGCGTGTTGAAATCACCTGGCAGAAATAGCCAGTCGGTCCTCGGCTCAGACCGTAGCACGGAGGATAGCTGAGTGTAGAATTGATCACGCGCGTCATCAGGATAACACATGGTCGGACCGTACGTGCTTATAAAAGTAGCAAACTTACCTCTTCCGAGTCGTAGGTGAACAGTCATCAGTTGCGTGCTGATCCTTGTTGGTTCGCCCAAGAGCTGACCATGGAAGCGATCGGATATTGCAAATACGACCCCAAGTTCACGTGGTGCTGAGGCGGCGTTGTCCACCCAGTAAAATGTATATTCAGCACCTGCTTCATGCAACTTACCTTGCTCAGCGAGCCGGGTTTCACTAAGCGCCGCAATATCGATGTGGTAGCGCGCCAGTTTCATCGCGACCAGTGCAGTGCGTCGCTCGGGACGCTCACTGGAGTTCCGGTCCAGTAGTGTGCGCACGTTCCAGCACCCGATGCTGAGATTTTTGCGCGCAGGCATACGATTGCATTGGTGGACAATCGCACGCGAGGTGTTCGTTGTGCTTCGGAGGTTTGCTTGAGGGACTCCACCCGGAGCCTTCGACTCAATAGCCTGATGCACAAGGCGGTGGGTTGTTTGGAGGTTAGCTTGAGGGTCTCCGCTCAGAGCCTTTGGCTCAATAGCCTGACCCACAATGCAGTGGGGAGCAGATCCAGCTCGGGTATGTGATTGCAGAGACAGATTGGGATCTGCTTGATGGCAGTCACACGCAGCCTTGGAGATAATGGAAGGACTCATATATGTTTTGCGACCGTAGTAGGATACACTTGCTACCACGGCCAGACACAGGTGGGTTTTGGCGGGTTTGCACCAATTTGACCAGGGGCTGTCTGGCTTGAGGCGGGCAGTAGCAAACCATTGAACACCCGGAGGTGTCCTCCCACCGTCAGAGACAATGCGTGGCGCTCGTGCTCCACGCCAATCGAGCTGTGAGCTTATAACCCGTAGACTTGTTGTCTCCCATGGCTCCCATGACCATCGGCCACTTCCTAACCTCCGAAGAGGATGGACTAGGATACTGGCAGGGCGCCCACAGCTGACAAGAGAACGACTTGGGTCTTCAGCAAAAGCCGATTAAATGTACATCCGAAAGGCAGCGGCTCTAGCACATGGTCAGTTCACTGACTCATGCG